TCCGCCATGATTCTGACAGAATGGCTTTGGATTTAACTGAGCAAGTGGTTCCTATCTGGGAGTAAACCTCTCCTATTTATGTTACAAAGTACCTAGCTACCGTGAAATAGAAAGCTGCTTTGACCCTATCCTTTTGTTTGGTTTGGTGCATGCTCACAATGTTTTATCAGTGTCTAATTTCTCCCACTGGCAATTTAGCTAAAATTCTGTATTGGGTAAATATCAACTGGGATTACTTTTTCTAACAAACGGTCTTGAAATGTTTTCCACTCCTCTAAGAAAATTGCTTCTCTTTATGAAGTTTTCCAGGAAATAATCTTTGGGTCATTTTTTCACTTCCCTACTGCTTCTTTGCTAGCCATGGATTTGACTCTTATCCATATATAGTACACTTAACTACAAACACCAGAGCTACACAATGATGCTTTAAAAATACCAATATTTCTCAAAATGCTTTCCTGTCTAAAGAGTGAGTGATTAGTGCTGCTTTGCCTAATTCCATGATATGCTGACTGTACCAATGCTAGCAAGCACTGAAAACCTAGCGAATTGTTCGCTCTGTTTTTCTTTACTGTATGGGAAACAATAACAAATGTGCTGAAAAGCTGATATGTTGTGATAATGGTGCACCACAACTGAAGCATACAGTGCTATTGAAATATTCCACCAAAAACACAACACATGGAAGCAGAAAAGAAACTGGGAGAGAGGAAAGGAAACAAAGACAGACAAGGAATGTGAGCATTAGATACCACATACTGACAAACAGCAACACAACCAAGTGAAGCTGGATCTAAAATAACTGCCCAGTATAGCTAGACTATAGCAAGTTTAGCATTCTGTTTTGAAAAAAAAAGTTGAAGTCAAGCTAAACGTTAAGTTTCATCTTGACCAGTCACACCAGAATGTAGGTTTTCTGACTCCAAACAACACGAGGACTTAAAATATAAATTTAAGTATTCAATTTCCAATTCCTTAGACTAACATCCTAGTGTAGCTTTCACACTGTATAGTTTATAAATAGGCAATTCAACTTTGGAATAGAAAGTAGTAATTATTTTCGACTAGCAATACTCAAGTTTAAACAGGGAAATAACTAACAGAGCAACAGGAAGCATTTTATGTAGGCAGAATATAACTAGTTTAACTAATCTGGCCAGGACAACTGCTTTGTATACGTGATTCAGATGCCAGTTTTGCATTCTTACACAAGTTTTACATTGGTTTAAGTCCACAAACATCAAAGGAATTATTCCTGATTTACACCAGCATAGATTAAAATGATGAATAATCAATCCCCAATAGTCTACGCTTATGCTTTGGTGAAGAGGACTAGGAACACTTTCAGAAGTAAGTTACCAACCTTTCCATAACTGTTGCTCGTACACTGACTCTGTGTGTGTGTTTGTGTGCGCGCGCACACTCCAGTGCACAGTTGGAGAGTTTTTCCCCATAGCAGTACCTGTTGGGATGGCATGAGCATCCTCTCTTGCCTCGCACCCTGCACGCAGGCATAAAGGATGGAGCCACCACTGATCCCACTAAGTTCCTTCCTATCGGAAGAGTCCAAAAGACAGAAAATGAGGGGAGGTTGTGGAATGGACACGTACAAAGTATCTCGAACTACTTACAGTGGAAAGAAAAGGAGTACTTGGGGCACCTTAGAGACTAACATTTATTTGAGCATAGTTTATGCTCAAATTTGTGAGTTTCTAAGGTGCCACAAGTACTCCTTTTCTTTTTGCGAATACAGACTAACACGGCTGCTACTCTGATGCTTACAGTGGGTAACTCACAAGCAACCCAAACTGGGAGGTGGGTTTGAGGTTTATTTGAACTACTTGTCCAAATTTAACATCGTCTCTAGATTGTTGAGCGAGCGCGAGAGCGAGACAGCAAGCGCATAGTGAGAGGCAAACATGTAACATGATGACCTATCTGGTGGCTTCACATTAGCCAACTGGTAACAGGCAAATACAACTAGATCTCAAAAATGATATCCTTTGAGTGGAAAAGGACTTCCTCTCATTCTGTTCATTGCATTTGCGGACAATTGAGTAGAAAACCTGAAAGATTTAGTCTGTTCCAGATAAAACTCTAAAGCTCTTTTAACGTCCGGAGTGTGAAGTCTCTCCTAACCATTATTACCACGAGGCTTTGGAAAGAAGGTTGGTAAGAAAATTGCTTGGTTAATATAAAGTGTTATCCACCTACTGTAAGAAACTTTGGGTGATGACTAAAGAAGACTTTGTATACAAAACTGTTTACAGAGGGTCTGATACTAGTGCGCTCAACTCCCCCAATCTCCTGGCTGATGGCTACTAAAAATGCTATATTCATTGAAAGGTGCAACAAACAGCAGGTTGCTAGAGGCTCAAGGGGGGGGTGGGGGGGGAGAAGGGAAGCAGGGGTGGCATTTGTTAAGACAAGATTCAGGCTGCGGGGGGTGGAGAGAGAGGGGGGGGAACAGGGTTCTGTATGTGCAGAAATAGCCTGTCCAATCTCTTTAGAAGTCTTAGACATTGGGTTTGGTTATCAATAGGTAGCTGGAACACCAATATAGCTGCTAAGTGTACTCTGATTGAGCTAATTGCCAATCCTTGATGTTTCAGGGACAGAAGATTATTCAGCACACACTGAATAGAAGTGGGGACTGGGGAAACCCCTTTCAGTTAGGACCAAATGGAAAAACCTCTTTCGTTTAGCCAGATAAGTAGTTCTAGCTGATGGTTTTCTACTATTCAGCAGCACATCCTGAACTTCTCTAGAGCAGGACTCCTCCACCAATGTTAACCATGAAGACTTCAGGTGAAAAGCCTGAAGATTGCGGGGGATGGGAGGAGGTGGCATGAAGCGAGTGTGACGGAGGGGGACTGACTGATAGGTCTTAGAGCTCTGAAAACCAGCATTGACCAGGCCATGCCAGGGCAATCAGTATAACATGGGCCTTGTCCTGCTTGACCTTGCATAGAACTCTGGGCAGAAGAGATATATGGGGAAAAGCATACAGGAGAGACACTGACCACAGCAGCAGGAAAGCATCCATTAGTGAACCCGGAATGTGGCCTGCCTAGGAGCAAAACTGATGGACATTTCCTGTTGTCTTTCCTGCAAACATATCATTTGAGGAGCTCCCCTCAAATGGTCTGGGCCATGTCTGGGCTGAGGAACCACTCATCATGATTAACAACCTGCTCAGGTAATTGGCCAGCATATTCTGAGACTTGGGAGGCAGGCCGCTTTCAGAAGTTGCTGATGAAGTCTCAAAACAGAATTGTTTCCCAGCAGGCTAATGAGGACCAGCTCCCACCCTGTTTGTTTACATAAAACATGGCCATTGGATTGTCAGTCAGCACCAACATGCCTCTTTTCTAATATGTGGAAGGAATGCCATGCAGGATAAATCAATAGCTCTCAACCAAGGGTACTGGAACTGGGAGGCCAGGGCCTTCCCACTTTTTGGAAGTGGACAGGCCTGGTCCATCCACTTTTTACCATGGGTCTCCCCGCCCCCCAGCAAGTAGAGGGTCCATGGCTGCCGGCCCACTCCAGCTTCTGGTTTGGCCAGGGACGGGGTGGGGCCTCGGGCGGAAAGGGCCACAGACAGGGTGGAGGGCGCTGGGGAAGAAACTGAGTGGGAGGTTAGGGGCAGCTCCACCTTTTATACCTGCATGAGGCAGCAGAGAGGGCTCGTGCTGCCACGATTGGTACCACTAAGGGGAAAACTCTGACAACTGTACACTGGAATGCACGCACACCTACAGTGCAATGGACGTGTGAAAAATCACTCGAAGATCAGTTGTGCACTTTTCTGAAACATGTATACACATAGCATTTTCCATACCTAACCTATATTAACTTCTCTTGAGGTAAACAGAGCTAATAACTGAGTTTTGTGGAAAGAGGATAAGCTGAGAAACGCATTAAGAGATTGCATAAGGACTAGAAACATTTTAACATTTACCATTTCAAAATATAAAGCAGCCTGTGAACAAAAAAATAAAAGAATAAACACAGTAAGCACATACCCAGTCCTATCTCCCTCAGTTTAAAGTCCTGTAAGCTTGTGGTGTAAAGCTGTTTATTCAATTCCCACTGTGGTCTGACTTTTATTAAGAATGTAATTCCTCAAGGCCAGAATCCCATTTACATTACATTAACTAAAAGACAAAATTTAAATGTACATTTAACTACAACTGAAAATCTAAATTTATTTCTGCTGTATTTAATGTAGACACCATTTTTACTCAGCTTGGCAGTAAATATGCAAACGAATGCTCAAGTATTAGAAAAATGAGCATCTACCTTTCCTTTTTCACCTTAGCATTTCCTGCTTTTGTCAGTTTCTTAAGGCCAATTTTAAATACGGAAATAAGCACAAAATTTTTAGAAAATCTAAAAGATTTAAGATGTGAAAAAATAAAGCATGAGGCTACAGGGAGGATTAAGATTTGGCACAAATATGTAAATTAAATCAGTAGTGATCTGCATTAAATCACACAGTTAAACCAGTTAACGCACTGTCTAGAGTTCTTCATTACACCTATGAAATAATTCTAAAAATCAAATTAAGCCCAACTTTCTAGTTTGTAGTTAAACACTTATTTTAAAATAAAATACTGTTTTAAGTACAAACAACAGAAGACAGTGCCTTGAGGGAAATCTTTACTCTTTTGGGGAGGAGGCAGGTTCAGTTACCAAAAGACATCAATTTACCCAAAGAATTTTTTTGTTGTTGTTGAATTTGTATCGTTTTTGTGAAATTGCTGCTCAGAGTACCTTTTTATGGCTTAACTGAGAAGTCTTAACGATAGGGTTTTAAAATGGAAATATTAACTCACTCTTAACTACAGCAATGTGAATGTGACAACGTAAAGAACTCATTCCATTTATCAAAAACAAACATGCATTCGTTAACTCACACTGCAGTGAAAGCATACTGTACTCATTGCTGTCTTTCTACAGAGAAAGATCTCTTTATATAAGGCTTGCTGCCTTACCTCTAGGTCACAGCTGTATTCGGTGCCATCCAGGAGCATCACTTTGCATGGCACAGTTTTAATCTTCTTGGGAGCTTTCTGAGGCGCTTTTTCCATTTTGATTTCGGCTGTCTGTACCTCTTTGGTTTCCCTCTTTTCTTCTACTTTTTGTTTTTCTTCTTGCTCATTGGCAACTTTCTCTACTTCAATCTCTTTATTGTCTTCTTTAGCAGGCTGTAAGAAAGATGTAGTTTAATACAACGAGTCCAACCCTTTCAGGATGAAGTTGAAAGAAAATTCTTCTTTTCTGTACATCAATAATTAATTATTCTTATAACTATCCATTAAGGTTGTGCTCCCAGCTGGTGGTGTTTGGATGCATAATATATAGTTTTTAAGGTTTCCCCTTTTCTCAAAGTTACTGAAAAACAATTTTTCTATCCTAAAGGCCACTATCTTGCGGTTAAAATTCTAGCAGAGGCAACCAGTCTCCCTATAGAAATCAAAATAAAAGTTACACTTTTTTCTTAAAAGCAACTCAAAATATAATGAGAAATTGCATTGAACAAGACCACATTTAAGAAAAACTCAAGCCATAAGTGACACAGGTTTGTATTTAAGGACTGACATCTGAAGGCAAGACTTTGGAGCACTACAGAGGAGAGGCACATGTATGGCATAGTGCCTCACATTTCAACACCATAGCCACCAGCATCTCAACACCAACCTCCAGGCAGCAAGAAATAAAGACAGTATCCACAATGCACAGTCTGAGAGAATGGAAGAGTAAAGCGTGGAATAAAATAACTGAGATCCTCAGGACTCAAAAATAACTATAGCAGATAATAAATGGATTGCTTCAGTCACTAAGGTTATGTCTACACAGAAAAAAAAAAAAAAACAAAAAACCCACAGCAGCAAGTTTCACAGCCCAGTTCAACAGACTTGGGCTCACAGGGTTTGTATTACAGTGCTAAAAATAGCTGTATGTGCACATCCTGGCTCAGGCTGAAGCTTGGGCTCTAGCCTGAGCCAGAACATCATAGTGCAAATCCATGTCTGAAGAACTGCCTGGCCTTTTTTTTTTTTTTGGTGGCTATGTAGACATACCCTCAGTAGCACATCACTAAAGTCAGCCCAAGCAGAAAAACTGCACAAAAGTACAAACAATGAGCCATATTAATCCCTGGTATAATTTCAATACATGACATGGAATTCAGAGGAGTTACAGCAGCAATAAATCTGGTTCACTGACTAGCCGTTAATATTTTCATTAATTTATTATCTTTCCACACCTGTGTGTCAGCACTGCTCACAGAATGCTTCTCCTCCTTGTCATCTTCTTTAGTCTCGTGTTGACTCTCAATTGTTGCTTCTTCCAAATTTCCCTTTGGCTGAGCCATGTCCTCTGGAAGTTGACTTTCCCTCTCCTCCGCTGTCTGTCTCTCCTCTACAGGTTTTTTCTTGGCTTCATCTTTGGGCTCCACCAAGTTATAGGATTTTTGTTTCTTAAGCCATGGGGGGATAAAGCGAGAGATCCCCTTGCCTTCAGGTGGATCTTTTTCCTTCTTCTGACTGCTTGGGCTGCTTTGGGTAGCTAGTGCTGGGGAAGAAGGAGTACTTTGTGCCTCTTCAGAGAGTGTCTTTTCAGACTTTTGATTTTCCTGACTCTCTATTGCTTCCTCATGTTTTTCGTTGACTGCATCTGCCCCCAGCAGCTCAGATTCCTTCTTTACTTCAGTCTCTGGGCCAACTTCAGTCGTCATGGTCACAGGTTATGCTAGAAATCCAACAATAAAATATTATTATGCATTGTTTCAACATTATACTTTTTGGCTCTCAACACCATTAATAGGAATTATCTAAATATTAAGGCACCACAGATCAATTTTGTTAGGATTAAAGAGCTGTTTTAATCCATCCTATTTAAAGATCTTCAACCAAAAATAAAAGTAGCAGCAGACCAAAATCTGCTGCCATATTGGACATCTGGAATTTTCAAAAATGCTTATGCTAAAGAGATACATGATGCTTCAATGCACCACTGCTTTCCTCTTGGAAAAGTGGTGGGAGTGCTTCATGGTTCCTAGAATTAACACGGAAATACACTTGCTACAATAGGGTGCTCTTAATGTTAAAGACAGACTAAACATAAGAATTGTTCAGTATGTAACTTTCACTCTTTTCCTGCAGGCTTTTCAAAGCAGTCTAATGGAGCTCAAAATTTCAGGAGGAAATTTGGGCACCTAACTCTCCTGGGCTTGTCTGAAGATCCCAGCCATACACTGACATCCTGGCCTCATTTAAGTCAATGGAAGTTTTACCGTTTACTTCAAATCATAAAGTTTAATCCATAGTGTTTACTGCATTTTTGTACATTTCCAACTTGATAAACACAGTGCGTAGGGGGAAATTATTCAAATGAAAAGTTCTCTCCCCTCTTTTGTGCTTTTCGGGAGTACATTTCCAATCCCATCACCATTCACACCCAGCATTCTAATTAACTTTAATCAAAATATTAAAGGCTATTTTAATTGGAATAGCTACATGGTCTCCTTGTTAAAAAATAAATTTAGTTGTTGGTACAGAGAAAGGAAGACACATGTAGAATGCTAGCAACCAAGCCCACATGTTTCACTGCTGCATACTATCAGCTGTTAATGGACAGAATTTTTGTAAATTTTTTATTTTAATCTAAAAATCAAATTTGTTTCATGAATTTGGCAGGATGAGAATTAAAAAAAAACCACAAAAAACCCACCTCTAATTCCCTAAAACAACTTGAACTCAGGGACAGAGAAAGTGGAGTGCATCCCTATTTAATGCAGAATGCCTTCAACAGACCTTGAATCAAGTCTGGTCTCTGAGTCACAAGTTGACATAAAGCACCAGAACATGATACTTTTAATCCCCATACATCTTTGCCCAACCCTTTCTTAAAAGTTTAGGATAAACTATTGGCATAGCTAGATGGCCTGAAAGTCAGCAGATTGCAACAGAATTCATTCTAACCACTGACACCAACAGGGCACCCCACTGAAATATGCCTGCCATCAACCCCTCTTGTTTAAAAACAGTAGATTATTAGTTCAGGGCCCCTACTGATCTCCACAGATGCTAAATCATGCAAGGACAGAGGTAGTTTCTACATTAATTAATTTAGCGATTTTAAGTCATACATGCCATCTTAAATTGCACTCAGAAACCAACTGGAAAAATTGGGGTATTTTATTCCCGGCAGGGAGCACCACCAAGTGGGCTCCCAGCTTCTGTAGTAGCTAATGTTTCCAAATGGACTTCACGTCTAACCACAAATGGAATGAATACAGTAAGCCAGACTGAAGTTACAAAGATATGGATAACAAATGAGAGCTGCATCCACCTAAGAGGTCAAACCTTTTTGTCAAATGGAAACTGCCACTACTGATGCTTGGACAATCAAAAACAGCATATGGTGCCTTTATTTAACACAGTTAACATAACTCATTTTCACCAAGAGTCTTGACGGATACACAAGGCACAGTTTAAAACCAACTACTCATTATTACAGTTGTGCTGTGCAACCAGGCATGACCAGCAGCAAGAGAATGGAGGTCAGTCAAAGCATTGCATGTTTGGGGCTACAATCCACCTCCGCCACCAAAAGTAGAACCAAATAATTAAAGGACACTTCCTGGAATAAGATACTGTAGTAAGTGAAGTTACAAGCATGTTAACAGATAATATTTGAGTCCTACAGTCACATAACGCAGAGATTTGATTTAAGCTCACATTTAAATACTCAAGTTTATACTTGTTATTTTCCCTAAGTTGTTATAAAAATTGAAGGAAAGAACTTTTGTCATGTTTAATAGATTTCTAGTGGCACTGAATGCTGCTTTTAAATAACTGCCTAATTTCAAGATTAAAGCAGAATTTAATTTGTGATTTAAAATAGGGACTGTCCAAATATTTCCCTAAAACTAGCTTCTAAATAAATCTATGATTTCAGGAAACGCCTGGATTTAATGTAAATTATGCCAAATCTGAAATGCTAGCTATAAATTTGCCAGATTCTGAGAAATCATTCCTTCAGAAAACATTTGGGTACAAATGGGCAACAAATTCTATAAGAAATCTGGGAATTCAAATCTCAACCAACCTAGAAGAGTTTTACGATTTAAATATCAAACCACTACTTCAGCAAACAGAAAAAGATCTGGAGCGTTGGGGGAAATATGCAATTTCTTGGTTGGGAAAGAACAGCCACAGTCAAAAATGAACATTTTGCCAAAGATACATCTTTCTTATTTCAAAATCTTTCTGTAATCATACCAGATAAAACTCTGGCAGGAACACAGAGGATGTCTTTAGAATTTATATGGAATAAGAAAAAAACCCAAGAGTGAGTGCAGACACTTTGTACAAACCCATTGAACGGGATGGACTAGCTGTTCCAAATGTTCAATGGTACTTGCAAGCCAGCCAGCGTGCAAAGCAGTAGGGGACATTGAGCACTCTGTCCCAGCCCAACCCAGGTCTTTACGGAACACGAAAACTGTGGCAGTGTAAACATTCCTTGGCTACCAATTAATTTAAGAAATAAAAAAATCACTCTCCAGAAATTATACATTTCCTTTTAGCAAAGGCTATTCTATGGGCTTGCGGTAGAACTGAAGATAAAATAAATTCTTTCCCTTCACCAATGACACCCATTGGAAATAATCCTGATCTTAACCTAAACCATGAACCAGAGAGCTATAAAGACCAGGAGAGCCATGGAATACATATGGTTGTCCAGCTAATCAGTAAAGAATCTTTTCTAAAAATTTAGACATCAAAACTAACTTTAACTGACCCACTCTCCTGTGGTACCCGTACTGTCAAGTTAGACACTATGTTTCTCAACTTTCTAAAACTGTTTTATACAGAAAACTAACTTTAATAGAAGCAATGGAATCTGGTCAATTAGGAAACTATCCCCAGTTGTTAAATATTTATGACTAAATAACCTTTTAGTAATCCTCCTAGGGCTTCCTAGCAGAAAAATTGTCACACAAAAGGAAATGAATTATTTCTCATCTGCTAGGCTACCTCTCAATGGAAAAAGAAAAATAGTCCAACTATAGAGGAATAGTTAAATATATATATATAGGGGAGGTTGTTATAGAAAAATTAACACACCAATTACATACCCAGAAAAAAATAGGTTGAGAATTATATACTTGAATAAATGGCAACCAAATATCGAATATTAAAAGTACATTCACTAGCAAAAAACAGCATACCTGTTCATTTTTTTATTATTAAAAATTGATAGACATGCCGGCTTTGTGAAATATGTATAATTAGAGATTTCACTCAATTTAATAAAAAACTAGAAACAATGTCATCGGTATTGTAATTTTGTTCACTCTGTAATATGGTAACACTGCAGAGAGGTCTGATGATTACATTACTGTATATCTCAACAAAAATTCACTGTTGTAATGATTGTTTTGTTTGACATTTACATGGCAAGGATTTTTTGAGTCTGTTTATACTTCCTAAAAGTGACATACATACTTAAATAGCAAAATGTAATTTGACTAGTAGCAACGTATTTCTACTTTCTACTCATTAGCACTACCAAATTACTGTTTTATTTCTCTCGCATGCACATATCCATCCCAACACTGCTACCAGAGCTAGAAATTAGCTTTTCTGGGAAACAATCCACAAATATCTGCTTGCCAAAGAAAACTGATCTGTTAGGCATTCTTTTGTAAGTATAGTATAATCAAATTGTAAGCTTCAGTGTTAACTGTGCAGTGCCAATTGAAACTGATTAGCTAGGAAATGGTAATCTAGCCTTATGAAAAAAATTAAGTGAACTGCAAAGTGGCATCTTCTATTTGAGAGCACATATTCACATATTTATTGTTCCATCTACCACCCTAAAACAATATTTGTGTATCTATATAAACTGCATCCTCCTCCCTATCATCATAAGGGGTATGTGTACACAAACATTTAGTTCACAGCAAAGCTGGGGTGCTAGCCTGCTGCGGACTACCTGTCCAGGTGGACTTGGCTGACAGGGGACTAAATCAAAGCTCATTAACAAACTATTAATGTACATGAGCAAAGTCTACATGGACAGCTAGTCTGCAGCAGGCTAGTGTGAAGGAGATTCATACCCCAGCTTGCCAGAACTGAAGTGTTGGTGCAGACAAACCAAACCTTTTGGAGGCTATCATCGTCTCTTCTGAGAGCACGGACCATACAAGTTGTCGTGCACATTGTGGGCACTACAGGAATCCCTTCCGGTGAAAGGCTAAAGCCTATTTTATTTTAAAAAGATAGTTCAGTTACCAAATAGCTTTCCAGTTTAAGAAGGAAGCAATATTCTATTCAGCATCCAGTCTTTTCCCCAAAAGCCTCGAATGAGACTTCATAAAATTTAAAATTGCTTCTGCTTTAGAGCGTTTTAAGTTTCATACTTCCAGCATTTTGAGCGGTCCCTCATAATGCTCTATTTTTCCCAAGTTGGCTAATCAATTCTAAAATGCCCATCACAGTGTATTGAATTTTACTATGGTGTGACTAAAATCGCTGGTCTTTGGCAAAAAGGCACTTTATTTTAGATTTAATAACAAATTTATTGATTTGATTTATGCCTGTGCTACCTATTATGGGAATTCAACATTCAAAAACAAAATGTGTGTTTTTGAGACAGTTTGGGGAATATTTTTATGTCATTTTATTCATTTATGAATCTCATTTTTTGTGAATATCATTTATGCTTGTACCGTGCTTTGT